TTTTTTTCTTTGAACTGTAGTAAAAGCATAGAGATAAATCCCATGGATTTGACAGAAATTCTTACATCACCATTTCTGTCGAGGGTCACTTCAGAAAAGCATTAGGTTGCATTATATGCCTTTGTCTCTACTCTCATTTTCCAATAAACCCCTACCTTTTTCAGATCTCATCCCTTCCAAAATTCTCAGCAAATTGTTGGATTTGAAATTGCATCATCCAGACCAGGACCGGCTCTTATTTTAGAGACAATGAGGTCTATCCCCACCACAACTTGATAAAACCCAATGACATTGTTTTCTGTCATTCTGCCTTCCGTACCTGGGGGGAGGATATGCATCAGGAGTTCAACTCCATTCTGCAGCTCATTAAAACCTGTTCCATAGCCTGCCTTTGGTTTGTTTTAACTGGTGTTTAAAGGCCTCAGAATATTCTCCTGCACTTATGCAGCTGCACAGTAAGTAGCCTTCAGTGGGGATTTTGTGTGCTATCCCCAAGCTTGCAGAGACGGGCATGTGCCTATTTTCTGTTTTCCAACGTATAACAACTAAATATTCTCCTCATGTTAGTATTATCTTGATAATGTGTAGCACGTTGTTCTTTTTTTTGTTGGGTGATGTTGTTATCATAAACCTTTGCTGCATTATGCATGTGTGCACCAACATACACACACATCTTCTATCGAATTTTCTCTTGAGGTTGCCACCAGCTAAAAATTGTAAGAGCCTCCACTGATCCTGACTATTTCAGGCTAAATAGATTAATGAAGATTTTATAAAAATGTATATAGACACATGAATCAAAAATTGTGACAGAGAACAGCTTACACACCCTGGGGTAGACAGGCTGGTGCCGTAGTGCCAGATAGACTGTCTCTGCTGAGCTTAGGGAGGCTGCATTTGGTGCAGTGGTACGAGTATTAAAGGTAACAGCGTTTATTGAGGTCCCATGCTGATAATCTCTATGTATGGTTACCAGATTAATTATTTTTCTGTAATCAAGTTTAGCATAAAAAGAAAGTAGTAAATTTTGAGTTAACAAAAAAAGTACAGTACTGAATCCTTAGAGATAAGCAAGTCCTTAGAAAAGCAAAAAGTCTCAAGAAAGCAGGATTTGACAAAACAGTCACTGTATCATAAAGTCCATTAAGCAATGGTCGAGCCCAGTCAGACTTTTAACAGGCTTTACTCTTCCATGAACAGGTCAATCTACAAAGGGAGAAGTGCAGAGTCCTTTTCTAACCTAATAAAGCCTTGATGGAAGGAGAGAAACAGATCAAATTCATTAGACGATCTATTAGACAAATGCAATGACTTGCCATAAAAGAAAAAAAAATCTCTTCTTAACAGATCAGATCTTGTATAAGATACATTTTAATTTTCAGGTTTATTCTGCTTGCTAGGGAAAAAGGGCTTAAGATGAAGAAAAGACTGAGTCCCTGTCTTTTATATACGAAATACATTTCATATGTGAAAACTTATATGAAATACAAGCAAGTACATTTCCAGCAAAATCTCATTGCTGGTGGTCATTGGTAGAAATCTAAAAGGAAGGAGGAGGATTGTTAGTATCACGGATCTTCAGTAACAGAAAAGCAATAGAGCTGCTGGAAGTAAATGTGACAAAATAAATGTAAAGACATTAGATTGCTGTGGATGGGGCTTCATAAAAGGACCCATTTGACCTACATATTTGTACCAAAAGCTTCACAAACATCAGGCAACCTTGCTGCTTTTTATTGACTATTCTAAAAGTGCTACAAGCTGTATTACTTGATGCAGAGATATTGCAAACAAAGGAAGTGAGGTAGTTATTTAATGCTTTGGGGCCCTGAACCTCGTAAAAAGGTGCTTGAACAATAAAGGGAAAAAGAACATTTGAGTTTTTTCATAAGAAGCAGAACTGTCAATGTCTTGGCCACAGTTGCATTAGGAGGCAGATCAATTGTGTTTGTCACAGCAGAAAAGAAGTAAATCCTTTCTTAGAAATGACTGGCCTGCCAGATAATCCTTAGAAGGCATCAGAGTCCTCTCTCTGTAAGATGAATTACTGGAGTTTAACGGTGTCTGAAAATCCTGCCTGCAGGAAAGAACCATCCTTCCTACAGGACCTGGCTCTCTGGGTGCTGCCTTGTGACAACCAGCTCTGAGATGTCCTCAGGGCCAGACCACAAACCTGCAGCTGGCGTGGCCAGAGCTCACCCCCGACCGCTGCTGGCTCTCCAAGTCCACACCTAGCTGAGGTGATGGAGCATCGAGCAGATACAGAGGTGAAAAAAAGGTAGGAGGCAGCAAAGTAGGCTTACAGGTAAGCCTACTTTAAGACTGACCTTTCAGTGCACTATAGGTGCAACCAGTGTTATCTGAAGGAATTTACTGGGCAAGAGAAGAAAGGCTCAAACAGGAGATTCGTTTGGAGACAGGAGCAATAGGCATGTAGGCATACTTGATTTCATATTTTGTTTGTAATATGTGTTCACAACATGTCATAAACTGAAAACCCTTTAGTCTGTCTCCTCTGTAAAATTGTGTTTTTCAGCAGAGAGAGAAGTCCAGCAGAAAGTTTTCTGCATATGATTATGCAGGTAGTAAGTAGAATCCTCATGAAAATACAGTCCCCAGCTGCTGATTTGGCTGATGATCATTACTGCTCAGGAATGTGACTGCCTTGATGATAACTTAATGCAGACATGCTGGGTATATGTACATAAGAAGAGCTGGGAACAGCAAAGGCAAATGTATTTATGTACAGACTTGTCAGGGATGGGGCGGGGAAGGGACAGAATGGGAAGAAAAGGGTTGTAGGTTCCTCCCTCCTACACCTTCTCCTCCTAATTATTTTTGTCACTTTTTTATGGTTGGGGGAATGAAGGGAGATAAAGTGGCTTTCTGAAGGCCACTGAAGGATCTGGAGTGACACTAGGAGTGAAATCCTAGCAGGAAACCTTGACCTCAAAGTTCAGTGGTCAGAGCAAGAGAAGACATGCAAACGCTTCTGGTTTCATACAATTATAGGTCCAGTTTTCTTTTACCTGCGTTGTAATATGTCTATCATGGCTGGAAAGACACTTAGTATTTACAGATAATTTGCCATGTTAGCTCTGCAGACAGGTTTCAGCCTTGAGTTGTTCACAAACGGTTAGCTACAGCCACCTGATTTTCAGTATTCCTGCACTGTGTAGTTGGTCACTACCCCATCAGGTCAGGAAGCAGAAACCAGATCATGGGAATAAACTTCCCAGCAGAAAAATCAGCTGAGGAAAACA